GATTCCACCAGTCTACACTGAAACTGTAATCTTCCCCTCTTATCATTTCTGGAGCCATGAAATTAGGAGTGCCACAGAAACTGCTTGTTATATCTCCTGGCTGTAAGCCTGCCCTACACACACAATAGTCTGTGAGTTTAATGTGCCCTTCTGCATCCAGTAATACATTTTCCAATTTTAAATTTCTGTAAAGTATCCCTTGCTGATGAAGATAGTTGAATGCTAAACTGATTTCTGCAGAGTAAAACCTGACATGTTCTTCAGAAAGCATTATTTGTTGTTGCTTATGAAACAATAGATCTCCCCCATTGACATAGTCTAGAACAAGGAACAGTCTGCTTTCTGTCTGGAAGCAAGAATGCAGTCCTATAAGAAAAGGATGATTGGACGCCTGCTGTAAAATGCGCTTCTCTCTCTGTACCTGATCAATGTTGACACACTCTTTTTTCACTGCTTTCATTGCATACATCTGATCTGATCTGATTTTTTCAGTTGGCCTAACAGTACTTTTGCATAACTTCCTCTGCCATTCACTTGGAGCAAATCAAAGTTGTCAAGACCTAGACCAGATGAAGCTTTGCCACTTTCCCCGGTGTTCTCTGCCTCATTCTCTTCGGCAACTTGTTCTAAAGCCTCATGAATTGAAAGGTTATGTGGGATTGCTGTATGTGCAGGGTTTGAAGCCATGGATGATGGATCGACTGGCACCATGGGCTCTGATGGTAAAGACTGCTGCCCACATTCAATTGTGACAAGTTTATGGCACTTCTTGTGAACCGAGAGTTTACAGTTGGTGCATTTATATATCTGGCGGCCAAGTCCCCCTACACGGTCTGTTCAGAGAGCACAGCGAGCTCCTCTGCTGAAGCGTTTGGCCTGAAAACATGGCCATTTGCACAATACAGCTTTCTCTAGCAACCTGCAGCTCTGTAGTGGATGGATTCCGCTTCTCCTGGACAAGGCACTTTAGGATGTTCTGTTATACAAAGTGATGCATGAATTAAGAGCTCATAATCCTTCTTGATCTCAGAAAGCCTAACGACTTCTTCTAACTCCAACTGAGGCGACACAGTATAAGGATCTCCTTCTTCCTTTACCCAGCATGTGGTGAAAAGTTGTTTATTGTCCAAACACCACACATCTGGATCTTTATCACACAGGCCCTCAAAGGAGATGCAATTCTTTGTCATGATGTCTCTTCCCCAAATCAGGGCAGATCAAGTAAAGGTGTGGGTGGTGGTGGTGCCTGGGAAGAAGGGACCATGGATGGGTTGGCTGCCCAGGAAAATGGGCAGGCAGGGGTCAGAGAATGAAAGCAGCCTGACTGCCTGCAGGGACCACACTGGCCAGAATGCTGCAAGGCTCTCTGTGAAGTTATTTCCAATAGCAGTGGCCAGGCCTGGGTGGAAGTATACCAGGCTTCTCAGTGTCTCTTGGAGGGCTGGTGGCTGTGACTTCGGTCTCCCTCCCTGGAATTTGACCCTCTAAATTTTTTGTGCCCGGCTCTGGGGAGGCCTGCCCGGAGCTACTGGGTGTTTCTGGTCCTGGTGATACTTTCCCTGTGCTCTTCCCTGTTTCTGTGCCATTGGTATTTGGGCTTAGGGAGACTTCACTGGGGTACCTTGATTGTGATAGGTCACTGGTGCTCACTACCAGGGAGACCTTCACTGGGGTGACTGTGGCAGTCATGCAGCTGCTGCAGCATGGCCTGTGGTGTCTGGATGGAGTCAGCTGTCTTCTTAATCTCTCACAGACACTTTCTCTGCCTGGGGTCCTGAGGCTGTGACCTCTTGAAGTGAAGCAGCTCAGCATGTTCACTGTTGACTGTCTCTGGCCAAGTGAACTTGGGAGATGGCTGTTACTAGGTTGTGATGCCCATTAGCAAGGGTTCCAGGTTCTGTTTGGAGATGTTGCCAAGGAAGTGAACTCATGCCTTGGGATTCCACAACCAGAGTCTCCATGTGGTAGAAAACCCTATGGCCCATTTTTTTCTTCATACTAAATAAATCAGTGACCACTTATTTCATTTTATCTAAGTATCTATGAATGTTTTTATCTATTTATCATCTATCTGTAAATTTTTCACTTTTGTATTACTGGGGTCTGTACTCTGCATCTCCTCAGTGAACTATATCCTCAGACATTTTATTTCAGATACCCACTAAGGGTCTCACTAACTCACCAAATTGCTCAGGTGGGACTCCACCATGTGTTCTTCCTACCCAGAGTGCTGGGATGACAGTCCCAACACCATCTTGTCTAATTCAGTGTACTATTTAGAAACAGAAAGACTTTTGATATTTTAGCATTTAAAGCAACATGTGTGCACTGAAAGCTTGCTTGTAATGAGCACAGTAGTCAGGGATCTTTTTCATATAAAACACCTTTTGTCTGAAGATATGAGACTGGAAATTTTCACTTAGAGAGCTGTGAAAGTTTAGGGTCCTTTTCTTTCCTGGATTGATTACATCATAATTTTTACTTAATTTGGAAGTATTGAGATTTTCTAGAAATTTCCAAAATTTTCCTTAAGAGGAAGAATGCTTATTTCAAAATGCAGCTGCTGAGTTGGTGGATCCATAGCAGATTGAAGTTTTGAGGTGGACATAGCATTCAGGATAATGACACACTATGTTTCCTTGAAAATAAGACCTAACCGAAGTACCTAATCAGAACTAGCCCTAGCTCATCATAACCATGGTGAGGGCCAGTGTCATGCAGAAAATTAGACCTTACTATTCTCTTGCTCCACGGTTACTCTGTAAAGGCAGCTAAGGCAAGGATAGGCTTACTGAGGTCATCATTTTTTTCTGGTTTGGTCTTATTTTGGAGAAAACATAGTAGAGTGAGGCAGTAGAGCATTTGGTGATTGCATGGGAGACAGTCATTGCAAACCCTAGAAAGCATCATCCCAGTGGTCATAATGAATATGTACATTCAGCATCTCAAACTTTCCTTGTAATCACTTCCAGTCTTCCTATGCATATCAGTCCACATATTTCGTGTCTCAAGTGGGTAGTTTGCACTTTCTAGATGTGAAGAAGCTATAACCATTCCCCATGTAGTTTTTTGAAGAGCTTATGCAATCAATATAACCATGTTGATGGGAGAGAACTGACCCATAGCGACCCCTCACCCTGCCAACATGAGAAAGCTGACCGGTGCAGGAGGGGCAGCACCTCCCTCACGTAAGTGCCCTGATCTGTTATGGAGTAGGGATGAATCACCCCAAAAGGGATCACAGCATGGGGCAGCAGAGGCAAAGACTACTCAATGGACCAGAGTCTGGCTGTTGACAACGCCTGGGATATAAAGGGGGAACCAGAACCCATGGCTGTCAACATAAAGTCTAACAGCCCAACTGAACTCCCACTTTGAGGCCTAGGTCTAGCAGAAAAAAAGGACAGATTGTGCTGCCCCTCTACTAACAGGAGCAAAAACATTGTAACCTTGGCTTGTGAATGTAACCATAGTCTGGTGGGGAAAGGAGTAAACAGATGGGTCTCAGTCCCAGACCCATAAGCCCTAAAGCCTGGCATGGAAAATCAGGTCTGAGTGAATACCAAGACTGTAGATCACAGAAAGAAACTACTCATTCAATAACAAAGTAACATTTTCTTGACTCAATGCCCCCCCCCCATTTTGTATTGTTTTTAATCTTTTCTTCATCAGATTTTTTTAAGGGTATGGGGATTTTTCTTACTTTTTTTGTCTTCATTTTATTTTTGCCTCTTATTCATCTGTCTTCTGACTTTTTCTCTTCATTTTTCTTTTGTTTATCTCTTATTTTTGCTGTTTACCTGTTTTCTTCTTTTTGTTTGTTTTTTCTATTGAATATTTTCTGTCACTATTATTTCCTTTTACTCCTTTTTTTATATCCTTTTATTGGTACATTTTAGGTGTACAATGTAATGACATTCATTATTGGAGATATGCACCTTTGCATACTCTCTTGGTTCTTATTATTTTCCCCCTTTCCCTGGCCTCCCTTTAACCCCTCCATCCCTCCCTATTTACAAAGACTTTGTTTCCATTTTTTCATTTGCTCATATTAATTCCATTCCCTTCCCTTACCCCTCCCACTTCCCCTTCCCCTTTTGCCCCTTTTCTTCCTATTTCACATTATCTATTATACTTTTTTAAAAACTAAAATGAGGTACTACTCAGCCATCAAAAATGAGAAATTAGAGACATTTATTGCTAAATGGATGCACATTGAGGCAATACTCTTAAGTGAAATAGATAGGACACACATGTGTAAATACCAAATAGTTTCTCTAGTGTGAGAAACTGAAACTGTAAATAAGGACTAAAAAGTATACTTTCTTAAAACATAGCTCATCCTGTACTTGCAGCGCTACCTGAACCAACCAAACAACCTGGCCCTGGTGTTGCGAATGTCACATTAAAAATCCAATCTAGGGCTGGAGATTTAGATCAGTGGCACTGCATCTGCCTTGCAAACGCAAGGTCCTGAATTCGATCTCTGATACAAAAAAAAAAAAAAATCTAATCTTTCCCAATAGCAAAAGTCAAGTGCAAAGGTCATAAAACCTCTGAAGTACAGAAAGCTTCATCCTGTGCTCAAATTAATACCAGAGCCTCGTGTGTCAGAAATCCTGGACTTACTATACATTCTATTGAAAAAAAATTGAGAATTCAAAAATCTGGATGAGAATAAATCATCATCAATCCATGACGAGCTCCAAAAGTGTCTCTTTGGTAAATGGGACCCAAATATTAACTATTGTTTCTTTTCCCAATCACTTTCTAATCCTGTAACAGATAGTAATCAAGGGTATTAAAGCTTGGAGTCTGATCTTCTAAACCACTTTGGACATGAGCAAGCACTGCAGACCATGAACTTTAGGGAAATTACAGGCATAACTCTCAAGTATTTACAGGACACAGCCTTGTAATACAACACTTTATTTTTTGGTTTTTCTGAGACAAGTTAAATCTCACCATAGTGGTATGAAAAGATTAATTCCTCAGGGTAGGAAATAATTCTGCAGTTCACTTGTGAAGGATGGTATTTCTTCTTTGATTATATTCAAAGTTGAATGAGTATGCTGCAGCATGCTTTTTCTTTTCATGATTTCCTCATGATAATGTTGTGGTTACTTTAGCAGGGGGTGGAAAACTGATAAGTATAATTGCTGTAATCACAGGATGTATAGGATGTAAATATTTGCAGGGCAATTAAAAACTATTTGCCTCTTTAGCTTAACATAAAAAGGCATCCCTGAACAGCAACTAAAAGATTTAAACAAATGAGCAGAAAAGATTTCTAAGTGGCAAGAATATGAAATGATTTATCGGGCATTCATTTTGTGGTTTGATCACATGTGAATGGAGAGGGAAAAGCAAAATATTGTGGATCAGGAAAAATGTGTCATCAAATAACTAAAAATAAATCTCAAAAGAACACCCTGGGGTTATAAGTGATCGCAGTGTGTGGCATTGTCAATTATCCTTTGAGCTGGCACATGGTTTGGGGCAGTGTCTAACTGCCAAGTTGTTATTGAAACAAGCCAAAGGGCTTGCCTCATTCATTAAATACTTGGACTTGGAGTATAGTAGTCAAAATAAACCATGCCAATTTACCAACATCCAATAATGGAAGTTTTTCTGTGTGAATAAACTTCTCTTTTCACCCTTATCTGAGTCATAGGTAAAGACTTCCTATTTCTCACTCTGTATCCCAAGTAATATTTTGATTTTTACATCATAAATTTCTGTACATATTTTAATCTTTACTACCACCAGGGACAATGCAAAGCTCATGCTGAGAGAGTTTGTGTAAGGTGGAGGAGATTGAACAACACCCCGATGCTTCCGCAGCAAGGTTAACATTTATACACTCCAATTAAGTTGGGCAAAAATAGCAATTTGCTATGTTCTCTAATTGGCCCTTGATCTTTATTTTTGGTTTAAAAAGTACCCCAAACAAAGACAAAGACCACTAAAACTTGGTGATGAACAATAACTATGTCTCTCACAGTTTTACAGCCTATCAGGTTAACTTACTCTTTTAAGAGTATATATAGTCAGTCATATTGGACTTAAAAAAAATCTCTTCCATGCACTTACTAAGGTGTCTAGGGTTGTACAATCTAAAGTGAGCACAAGCTAAAAGGGACTTTAATACAGAATTGATCATCAGCCCTGATAACTGTTTGAGTAATAGCTGATGGATTGGAGCATTGTGCTCTGTCCTTGCAGAAGTGCTTATGGATTATGCAGCTCAAGGTCTGAGCTGTTAGGGAGTCTGGGGACTGTTCCCATGAAGTTCAGCAAACTATTATGCCACTCAGGCTCTGCACTTTCAGTTTTTCAGGTAGTGCTAATTCTGAGACTCACTGGACTTTCTTTCGGGATGTTGACCTGCAGTGGTTTCCACATCCAGAGCCGTTGAAAACCACTTGGAACTTATGTCTAAATTTATTCAGTTATTTTTACTCTTCATTCTCAGCCACTTATTTCTTCCTTTTCATGGTTTTGTTGTAACATTGAGAACTTTTTCATATCATGTACTGGCTTTGGACTATTAGCTTGCCACTGGAAGGATATATATGACCCTCCTGACCATATTGATCCAGGACTGTGGAAAAGAAAAGAGAATAATTATAGAATAATTTTCCTTTTGCTGAAAACCTATAATATTGTCTTGACTAAAATTCTCATATAAAGTAATTCATAAAATGCTTGGGTGCATTCAGGATTGAAATGATATGTTTTTTAGTTAGTAGATTTCTCTTGTTTCCACATGTACACACAAATTACAACAGTTTCAAACTTAATTTACTATATAACATTTCAGTCTTGCAGAGCATGCCTTTTATCACTAAATTTTGTCTCTCTGCATGTTAGTCTTCAGAAACACTTTCTAAATTGGTCCTTGCCTGATAAATATGTCTATTTAGCTGAGCTTTTTGACTTATGTTCTATAGTTCTATTTTTTTGTATGTGTGCCACAAATCAGAGGCAAAGGAAAAAGAATTCACTGGATTTTCTTTCCCTTTGCAAGTTTATACAAAAATGAGGCACCAGGCCATTCAATAAGTAGACAGCAACTTCTTACTTATCTTTAAAACCTACTTTTGCCATGGTTTTCATATAAATATGCATACTTATCTTATTTATGGGAATCACTTCATTTTCTTTTTTTTCCATCAGAAAATCTATGTATAAGATAATCAGCATTGCCATTTCTTTGGGGGATTACATAATGCTATAAGATATCTACTTTTCTAAATACCACCACTTACTTTTCTTTCCTTCAAATAAGGATACTAATACAATCTCTTTCCTTTGTGCTATTATTGTAAGGATTACATGGGTGAATGTACCTGACACAGAGACATACAGATGCTATCATTATTACTATTGTTTGTATTAACTTCTGATCACTTTCAGCATACTTGCATCCCATTTTGTTATCATAAACTGGCATGTATTAGGACATATTACTGTGCATAATGGAGAGACACCATAAGTATATTTAACAAGCAAAGATTCAACTCTATGTCCATGGAGAAAAGAGAGAGAGTAACAATCCATTAGTTACATTTTCATCTGTCTGTTATAATGTGTACATCACTGAGCATGATTGCAGAGATTGAAGATATACCTTTTTAAGATTTCTGGAGGAAGGGATGTTAAAGTTAAGTCCTTTGTACAAGGTCACCAGTAAACTGTACAGGGAATAGAGAGTCATGGATTCAAGGAGATCTGCATTATGGGATTAATATAGGATACTGTGTACCTAAGTCATTATCAAGGATATTATGCTTAAGTAGTGTAAGAAACCAACAAAGTATTCTACTAAGTGGGAAAATACATATTTTATTTCATTCTGAGGTTATAGCCCGGAACTAAATATTGTAAGGATATTAGATTAATATTAGATTCCCAAATTCTTCAGAGTTCAGTGTACCTCTTAAATAATTCTGAACATATCCTAGCTTAGCTCTGCTCAAAATAAGCATAAAGCATATAATTTTAAATATTATTGTGACTACAAAAAAGAAACAGATAAAATTAAATTTAGTATATACTTAAACCAATACACCAAAATATCATTTAAAAATCATAAAGCTTTTATTTCAAATAGGTCATAAGTATTTTGATATCAAAAGAACACACCATTGAAAAAGTAAATTCATATCCCTATGTTTTTCCAAATATATTTAAATGCTTTCCAATAACAGAGGTAATCACAAAACATTTTCTATTAATATTCCCATCCACATTGGCAAAACTTGCCTGTCATTCTTTGGAATAGTTTGCCTCTGAAACTAAAACACTTAGGTTCCAAACAATATCTGTCCAAATTAATTAAATTCTTAACTTATGTCAATTTAATATTTTCAAATTCAAACTAGATATTTCATAAATTGAAGAGCAACTTTAAAAGTTTATCAGTATCAACAAATTCATCCTCAAAATTTCTTGCAGCCAATTTACATAATATTGATGATAACTAAAATCTTCTGTAAATTGATTCATGTTAAAATTATAATTATTGATTTTTATTTTGGAAAATTTCAGTTTTATCATAAACTCTCATTGTTTTCTAGGTCATAAATTTTTCTTTGCTTGAAGTTTCAAATTTATTTTATTTTTAAGCAATGTACCAAGTGAGAAAAAATAAATCACAAGACCATTTTTCATCTCTATTTTTCTGTTTCAGAAAATCTTGGAATTAACAGTACAGTAAAGCTTTATAAAGTTCTCCCACTACTACTCAAATGTGAATGATTTTTAAAATCTACATTTATAACTCTTCAGATTCCCAAGGAATAGAGAACACATACTTTCACTGTGAAACATACAATAAACTGGAGCGATAAAGAAAATATTTATCTCCTGTTTTAAGATGACAATATATCCAAATATTTGATTTAATGTAGCTGGAGTCTGTTGAGATAGAAATTGAGTTTTTCACATCTCTATAAAATTCTTCTTGACAGTAAAAATCTAATATACCTATACCATGGCTTAACTTTCTAAGTAAGTCATGAGATGATAAAATTTATTTGTAAATTTAGAGGTCCTTTAATACTTTGAGAGAAATCATACTTACAGTTTTTATAGGGTAGTATCTTTTACATTATATTATATGATTCATAAAAATCTATAGAAAAGACTTTCAATTTTTAAAATTTTCAATAAACTGGTCACACATATTTATAGAAAATGTTTATGTTCCACTGGCACAGATTGTGGTGTAGTTGAAGATATTTAATTTTTCCTAAAATATACTAAATCCCCAGCCAAAAAATGATTTCTTGAATCACCTATCTAAAATTTATTTTGTTGCATGTAAGAAATCAAAGCATTTTTTAGTTTCTCAATTTCAAAGCTGTTGGAAAGATTACTAACTGACTTTTGTTATACATTTAATTCTGATTTTGCTTAGCTAAATTTGTTGGTTTTTTGACTTTGGAGAAAAGAATTTATCAAATTTACTACAGATTTACTATTAACTACTTTATTGTTTTAAAAAACTTTTTACACAATAAAAGCAAGTAATTTTTATGCTTTGATGTACTCAACAAAATAGAATTGCCCCTCATCAATAAATTTTTCCAATTTCTTTTTTCTTTATTATGTCCACCAAAATTCTAGCATTTTCATTTTAGGGTTGGTGAGGTAACTTGGTGATAGAGCACTTGCCTAGTACATACAAGGCCCTGAGTTCAAATCAAAGCAAACTAAAAATAAATAACTAGCATCTTCACTTTCAACTGATTAATCATCATTGAAATCTTCATTTAAAATTTGAAAATTTTTCAATACTTATTTTAAATATAAAAATAAGTTAAATATATTATTAAAATATTTTATTTAATTTCTAATTATAATGTATATAAGTATCTCTGTAACGCATGCTGCATACATGAAATCATCTCAACCTGCTTAGCCCACTGACACTGTGAAGAATGATGACATCCTAACAGTACTTGGTGCATCCAGTGCCTGCACTATACAATGATAACATCCCAATATGACTGAAGTAAACATGTTGTCTTGCTAAAGCAGTAAAACTATGTTTAACATAAGAAGAACCTTTTACCACATTAATTTTAAATTTAAATTTAAGAATTAAAATCAGATCAAATAAAGAATTTAATTCCTCAGTCTTCCAGTTCCTGTCACATTTTCAAGTGCTCAACAGCTTCTTGTGGGTAATTGTTCCTGTGCTGAGAAGTTCAAGCCTCAATAAAGGTAAAATATGTATTGTTTTCTTTATTTGTTTGTGTGGTAGGAAAGGGACATAATTGTTTTTCCTCCCCCTGTTTCCTACTAACCACTTTCCAAGATGAGAAGTTGTTATTTTGATGGCACCAGCTCCTACAATGCTAATTAGAACAGACTTACTAGTGGTATCATGATCTCTTTGTGCTAAAAGTTACCATACATGGGTGTGGCTCACTTTCTTGGATCTTGTCTCTGTATTTTCTGCTTTTTTTCCTGCCACTCAAGAGAAAAGTCACCCAGGGTCTGGCCCTTGAAGGTAGAATAACTATTTTAAGCTCTTAACTGTTCATATAGGCCAGGAGGAATTTAGACTTTTAAACAAACTCATGTCTTTCATCATGACAATCAATTGTTGGTAAGATTAGGCACTTAAATGAAGGCAGAACTTTATTCAGTACTTGGCCCAAATAATTTAAAAATGTCCAGTTTTCCAGCAACTCCAGATAGGAGCTGACTAGTAACTTGTTAACTCCCAATGAATGGAGTGGGTACTTCTCATTTGTGTTTGCCTCTCATGAGCACTTTTTCAGAAACTTCATAGGGTCAGATTGCTTAGGCAAAGACTTGACTCTGAAGCCCTAGACTGCTTAGTTAAATACTATCATGTGGTTGTTGCCTAGTATCACAATTATTTCTAAAAATAACTATTTTACTTTAATCCTCTGTTGTGTTGTCATCTAATTATAGTGCCTGTGGAGAAAAAGGAGAGAGTCTTCTTACCAAGTGATATATACATGTAATACCTGGCAGAAGGTTAAGTCCTTATCAAGATGACATTACATATAGTGACAAATATAGAAAAAAGAAATTAATGAGACTGTTAAAACATGATATTGCACTTTTGTATTTAGCCAGAGTCAAAACAGTAACTTTAAGAGTTACATTTGACTTACAAATATCCTATATATTTGAACAGAGATGATACAGTTTCCCTACTCCATATCCATCTTTAGGGACTATTTATTGTTTTAACTCTCTGGCTCCAGATTTAAATAAGCTGTCCTGAACTACAACTGCCACCAAGTGGTAATTTAAGGAACTGTCAGATACAAAATTTCCCACTCTATTCAGTCCATGTACTTCGCTCTGTCTTTCCATATCTGGAAACAATTGCTTCCCTGCTGATTTCATCACATATGAAGAAGGAAGTATAATGCAGTGACTAAGAGTACAACTATACTACACTTCCTAGGTTTACTTCTCTACTTAAAAACCTCACCAACTGTGAGGCGTAGAACAGCTGTTTTACATAATGTTTTTGAGTCTCAGTGATTTCATTTGCATGATAATAATAACACCTACCTCAGAGTTGTTTGGAAGAAACATGTATAAATTTGA